ACAAAACCCACGCAAATTTGTAATTAAACTTCGCCTCTAGGAAAAAATGAATTTCAACACAAATTAAGAAAAATCCAAGTAAAAATTTTTTAGATTGATTCTGGTTTCTAGGTGTAAGAAACTATAAAGAATTTAAATTATTTGAAAATTCAAAAATTCCTTATTTTAGAAATCATTTGTACTTGACGTTACAAAGATTAATAGTCTTGAAGTCAGATGATGGGATAAAAAAAGCTATCCTATTTTATTTTTTCAAGAATTTACACATTGTTTTGATCACACTTGTAAGAACCACATTATATGAAGGTTAAAAAATTATGAAAATAAAAATATAGAAGCTAGAAGACAATGACATATCTTATTATGATGATGTAATTGTCCAATATTTTTATAATTGATAGCCTGATGAAAGGACTGTCACATGATAAGTGGAAGCTCTTTTTTTTCTCTCTCTCTCTCTCTCTTTGAGTTCACATGATAAGTGGAAGCTGGTAAAATAATTTACTAATACAATAATTTAATTAAGTACTTTCAAAGCTTTCACTTAATCTTCAAGGCTGGGCAATATTATATTAATTGTGTTATTTAATTAATCTATATATTTTCCAAAACTGCAGAGCACATGGGTGTGCCACATATTAAGGCCTCTGTAATGAAAAACCAACCGTACTTCCTTTTTCTTTTTCCTTTTAATTTAATTTACCTCCACAATACTTGAGATCCACTCAAGTATTTAAATATTATGTGCATTTTTACCTACAAATAAATTTTCCTTTTGTCTATTTATATTGAGATAATAATCAATTATAGAGTCGAGGATAGAAAATCAAAAACAAAATGGTTATGAAATGAGGCCTAAATATTAGAATGTGRAGATTTAAACCTCTGAACTCACTGAAATGATGTGGAGATTTAAAACTTAGCATCAAAGAAGATGGTGGAAGTTCGAAGTCAAGATTTTTCTATTAGAGATATATGAGTTTATAACCGATAAAACTATTCTCAAGTTGGACTCTCTATTGCAAGTTAGAAGTTTGTTAATCTCATAGACTTGATAAATTTATGGTATATAAATTCCAAACATAAAATATATTTTATTTCACTCACTAAGACTGCAAATTATTAAATGTATAAATCAAATATAATTTACATAAAATTAAAAACTTTTTTTCCTCGAAAAAAAAAAACTTGAAAAACTTTTATAACTTATTCTTCCGTCCAATAATCTAAATAGAAGCTTTCCAACTACAAATTTTACCAAAAACTGTGGGCGAAACCTCTGTTTAATAATTTAGGTTTGAATCAAATAGATTTTAATAAAAGGCAAAATAAGTCTAAATTTTTTAATATACTTTTGTAATGATTACTTTATGAATTTGTAAGGAAGGGTACTTCAAAAGTGCGATTATTAAAGGCTTTCGTAATATATGACTATGTGTTGAAGAAAAGTAAGGTGACTAGTTATTTATTTTCTAAAGGATTTACCTTTTCTTAATTATTTTATTTTATTTTTTCTTTTGTGTTATACGTTTAACAAATATATGAACCTATAAAATCTTATAAAAATAGACCACAGTCAAAAAATAATCTATTAAATTTACTAATAAAAGGAAGCTTCTACCTTCTTTCTTTTCAATTTAATTTAAATCTTACTTCAATCTCTAATCAAATATTTTGTTCTTTCTTTACACAAGAAATCAACACCATCTTTAAATCTAAATTCATTTTAAATCTTTTACACTAGATCTACTCTAAGTAGCTTCAACTCATAGTTGGTTAATATTGACAATTACTCATCATATAAATGAACAAATACATGTATCTATCCCAGGTGTTATTAGTGACATAGTATTTTTTTTTCTTGAGTGACGAACAAAACAAATAGCTATATTGTATGAGATTTTCTATTCCTCGAAAATAAATCGTACAAAAGTAAAAATAGGTTTAGTTGGGACGATACGCGAAACAAATACATAAATAAAAAGAAAGAGAAGAAAATCGAAAAGGCAAAATACGACCTCGTCGCAAGTAAATAATCACCCCTCATTCCTTCCATACTTTCCTCGACATGTTAGCTAGCACATGATATGACATCCTTATGTTAAGAAACAAAAGTGAAAACAAAATTCAAACTATAACTGTCGCTTTGGGCTAAAAAGAAACTAAAATCGTCCAAACTTGATGAATGACACACCAAAAGCTTTGCTTTTGAATCCACAAATTAGATCTAAAACCGAAAAGAAGAAAGAAAAGAAAAAGTAACCTATCTTTCCTTGTTCCTTACAAAAACGAACCTGCCCCTGTCCACTTTCTGACATCCTTGTTCAGTACAAAACCTACGCAAACATAATTAAAACTTTTTCCCATTTCTTTAAAAATGGTTCAATTGGAAGTAGAAGTTGAAGATGAAGAAACCCATCTTCTGTTTTCCTTCATTATTACTCCACTCCATCTTCCAAGTTCACCTWCAACTCTAGAAATCCCAATTCCATTTCTCTCTCAACACATCAAAGTCTCCTCCTTTAATGGCTCCACAAACCAAATTCCTCACTTTTTTCCTTACCCTTTTACCACTT